GGGCCACATTGTGGTTGGGCCAGAGACAAAAGTGGGCAGAGTGGGTGTGACAATAGTGTGCATTTGACCCCCACAAAAGTCGTAGGCTTCTGCACACCTCTCTCTCCAGGCAAGCAAGAGGTATTTTTACAAGGACACTTTCCATTCACACAGAAGCACTTGAGGAGGGGACAGGGTGAGGGGTGTGGCTTAGAGAGGGGTGTGTAGTCTTAGGAGAGCCTAAGGGCCAGATTAAGATACATTTGGCCCCTGGGCCTCAGGTTACCCATCCCTGATCTACAGTCTACACCATTATCACTCATTATTCCAAGAGTTTGTAGTGGCCTAGAGACAAACTACGTAGTAGGTAGTAGTCTTTATGGTTAAAAGTTTCAAGCAACAGGATAGCAAGGGAGTCATAGCATGAGAAGTGCTTTTTACTGCCCCTTTTAGTCTCAATTCATTTCACCATTTAAGAAACTATGGATTTCCATTATGAAAACTACTGTTCGTCAGAGGCTAACTCTGGTTTTTTTCCTATTTTGTACTCAGGAATTACAATGGTCTCTCATCAAATCTGAAATGCACATGTATGTAAAATTAAGTGCATGCCCTTTAGAATTCTGAAAAGTGGTTAGTGGGAAATGTTGAGTCTCCCCTTCCAAGTATTTTAAAGATACCAGTGGCAAATTTTGTACTGCATCTCTACCCTCCACACTTGAAGTTTTGTTTCTAGGTTTCCATACCAAAATACTTAAAATTTTTATTTATTACATTTACATCCCACCTTTTTTCTAAGCAGCCCAGTGTGATGTAAAATAGTCCTCCCCTCTCCATTTTTATCCTTACAACAAACCTGAGGAGTAAATTAGGCTGCAAAGCAGTGATTGTCTGAAGGTCACCCCGTGAGCTACATGGCTGAGTGGGGATTTGAACCCATGGCTCCCATATTCTAGTCTGACACTCTAACCACAACACGTACTGGCGACTTAGAGAGGAAGAGCACAGTTTGTATCACATAAAATGGTCACTGTAATCCATCTTTTCTTGCCCAGAATCACTAAATACATGCAAATGATCCAAACACATACCAGAAATTTTGGTTTGCACAATTAAAGTGGGTTGAAGTGCTCTGTCAACCTATCACAGCAAATCCACTTTAAAAACAAAAACGGACTTTTTGTGGTAAGGAAAGCAAAATGCAGTGAAAAGCACATCGTCTTATAACCTTTCCACCATCGGATCAGAATGTTCAGTAAAGGCTGGACATCATCTAACCACCATGTAAGTTCTGTGCAAATCATAATAAGTGCTCAATAAACAGGTCATCTGGAGGAACACAATGATTCAGGATCATCGTCATCTGTCAACCTACTATATCCTACAGCATGGCTTGCAGTTTCTCACTTTGTCCAGACGATGGCAGAACGAGACACTTATATCCAACTTATTTACTGCTTGACTCTCCCCACCACCACCACTGTATTTCCTATATGAAGTGCTGCTGTATGAAACGTCCAATGGACACTTCAAACACAGTTATTTCCATCACAGGTATCACATTTGTGCAAGAAATCCTCATGTGATATTTGGGGTGTCTGCCCATAGCCTGCATGCATTAGGAAGCAGAAACCAATCAGTTTCCCGGTGTGTACCTGTGGTGGAGCAAACACATTTTGTTCATCACAGATGAGTGCTCACGTGGTCTATGTGTGGATTTTAACAGGAGTGAGCTCCCCATAGGAAGTGAGTGGGGTGGGGGTGGGGATAAATAAAAGGCCTTTGAAGCAGAAAAAGACCAACCCAGATGTGATTGTGCACCTCCTTACTACGGAGTAAAACCAATTCTTCCCAACTGGAACTTGAATATGAACCACCTGCTGTACCAAGGCACTATAAAGGTGTAAGTCTTTATTGATGGGGCAAATCTGTAACTAGGTTCACACATCAAGGTGGGCGGTGGATGGCGAGTGCTGATTGGTTGAGAAGGTTAATGCTTTATTGGTCTGTAACATGTTTTGCTGACTGAGGATATTTCCCACGGACGTCAGCTACATTCTCTTAAACTGGGCTGTCCTTCAGAGTGCCTTGTGTTTTGTTCTTGGTTCATTTTTTTAGCTGGCTCATTATTTTGCCATTGTGTTAACTGTACTTACTGACATACATCTTTAACAAAGCACAATAAAATGTAATGCTTGTTCTTTAAAGTATCAGACTATAAATCTTGTTATCTCTGCAGATCAGAAGAAGGGTAGTTCTGGCTTATTTAGCATCAGCCAGCCCCTGGTTCCATTCTGTGCCTCCTTCTACACCCATCAATTATTCTAGCGCAAGGAAGATGAACCTGCAGCCCATATGCTGTTGGGCTAAAACTTAAATCATTCCTGATCATTGGCTGTGCTGGCCAGCTGGGGCTGATGCAAATGTGACTCTAACAACATCTGGCGGGCCATAGGCTCTTCATCCCCATTCTAGATGGAAGAGCCTGAATGTGTGGGGCTATAGCATCAACCACAAGGAGGAACGAAGACTATCAACACCTCCATATTTCCTTAAACTAGTGCACCTTGGTGTTGCATTTTAACTGTTGGATATTCTCTGTGTGTGAGAGAGAATCATTTGTTTCAGAAACAGAGAAGAAGTTTCAAGAAGCAGCAGAAGGCTGGATTGTTTTTTCTTGTTAAGATTGTTAAATTAATCTGTTAGAATCTTGAGTAGGGTTTGTAAGTACTCGTATTGTAGTAGCCTGGAAGGGGCTGAAACATGTTTTTGTTATTTGTAGTTATTGTCTTTAATGGTCATCCTCAAGACCAGAAGAGCTTGGTCTTGTGCGCATGTGCGAAGCACTATTTAGCATTTCTGTGCATGCGCGAGCAGTAAAACCCGGAAGTAATCCTTTCCGGTACTTCTGGGTCACCGCAGGATGCAAACTGAAAAAAACATATAATGAAGCAAACGTAACATGAAGTATGACTGTATAAGGATATTTTCAGTTCTTTGGACATGCACAGTGTGACAGGAAGTACTGATAACACTTCTTTGTAACTTGTTGTGAGTCTCTTGCTTGCACCTTGCAGTGAGAGAAGCAGAGAGAGCATCTTGGACTCTTGTTGGACTCTAAGCATGCCTTGACCATACCAGTGGTGAATGTCTGTACAGTACGGTATATATTTGCTATTAATCTGCTTTTATGCCTGTCAAGTAAACCTCTACACTTGACTGAATCTTTATGGCATCCATGAGTGTTTATTGCCTACTGTGTGTACCTTCAACCCCAAAGACGATTCCAAGGAAGGAGCTGTGTTGAGATGTAACTCTGCTGATACTGGCATACACGTGCAGCAAAAGTGATGCTGGACCCAATCCTTCTAAATCACCCATCAGAGGTTAATGGATTGATTCAACAGGCTGAAACCTTACCTGCCCACAGACTGTCTCGGCAGATTGGTGCATGCTCAGGTTATCTCCTGCTTGGACTATTGCAATGCTCTCTGCATGTGGCTACCTTTGAAGGTGACTCGGAAACTACAACTAATCCAGAATACAGCAGTTAGACTGGTGATGGGGAGTGGCTGCCAGGACCATATAACACCAGTCCTGAAAGACCTACATTGGCTCCCAGTATGTTTCCAAGCACAATTCAAAGTGTCGGTGCTGACCTTTAAAGCCCTAAATGGCCTCAGCCCAGTGTCCTGAAGAAGCGTCTCCACCCCCATTGTTCAGCCCAGACACTGAGGTCCAGCTTCGAAGGCCTTCTGTCAGTTCCCTCACTGCGAGAAACGAGATTACAGGGAACCAGGCAGAAGGCCTTCTCAGTAGTGGTGCCTGCCCTGTGGAACGCCCTCCCATCAGATGTCAAGGAAATAAACAACTATCTGACTTTTAGAAGACATCTGAAGGCAACCCTGTATCAGGAAATTTTTATATCTAATGTTTTACAATACTTTATGTGCTGTAAGCCGCCCAGAGTGGCTGGGGTATAAATATTATTATTATTATTATTATTATTATTATTATTATTATTTTCAGAAGCACTTGGATATTTTATTGGACTTACCCTCTTCTTAAGAAGGCTTTACAGCTGTTGTAGGCGAATTGTTAAAAAGGGGGGCTAGCCCATTAGATTCCAATGTCTTCTCTACGATCATACAGCAGCATGTCAAAAGCCTTTTCAGCTAAACAGTGTTGCACCATGCATGGTCTCCAGCCCCTGACAAGAAGAAATGCAGTTGCCTCCTCTGCTCTCTGTTCCTTCATATGATAATGTGAATGGGAATCAAATCTGTTTGTTGCCAAACTTATTTCCTGGCACCCTGGAGGCACCTGCTTGTTATACCTAGCAGGGTGGGGCTCATTGTGTGGGTGCCCCAAACTGAACCTAAGTAGAACTAGCCTGTCCTGCAATTTTCATTGCACCCTGAAATTACGTAAGACACAGTGGATAATAGTTTAGGGCTTGGTGTAGTCCACAAAGGTGTCCAGTGTCCAGCCACACACTATGTGGTTATATAATAATGATAACATGAAGATATAGGACAAAAATCACTGACGTATTAGTCTGAGAAAGGGAAGCATCAAAGGAAGCACCAGGGACAGGATTAAGTGCAGGGAGTAAAACATATATTGATCCCTTCTGTCAACAGAGCTCAATGAACAGTATAGGATCCTTTTTTCAACTCAGCTCCACTGTCCAAGTTAAAACAGCAAACAGAGCTGAACAGATAAAGGCTTGGAACCATACATCATTATAAGACTAAGATACTTCCCTCCCAAGGCGGAAGGAACACAGCCTGTAGCAATTTTATCTCGTAACGGTCAAACTAAACCCATCCTGATGATTTAAACTGTTTCAGCTCAGGAAGCTCTGATCCAAGGATGTGACTTATTACAAATACGGAGACTGTAAATATGGGTCCAGCAACGTTTGCAAATGGTTGGCATGACTCTAAATTTAAGGCTTAAAGCCACAGAATGCTCAGAATGAAGTAGCAGAAATTTTGAACAGGGGGAGAACTAGGTTGCATACACAAACATTTTATTCTAGAATCAATAGTCCACATTTTTTCCCTACATAGTCCACATTTTTGACCCTGAAAAGTGCTCCTTGAGAAAATGGTTTCATTATGAAAATAAAAGTTTACTGTCCTCACAGTGCATACATTTGAAAACAGACATAGGTTGCCCGAGCAATGAGAGTTGTATACATATCACAATCACCACTTCCTTCTTCATTCGTCCAGGTCATAGAATTGTAGAGTTGGAAGGTCCTGAGGGTCATGTAGTCCAACCTTCTGCAATGCAGGAATCTTTTGCCCAACGTGGAACTTGAACCCACAACCATAAGAATAAGAGTCTCATGCTCTACCAACTGAGCTATCCCAGCATCGTCTGCAGGGAGGAAAAGGTGTGAATAACCTGATCAAGCGGAAGGTTTTCAACTGTGAATCAAGTAATCACACCAACCCTTGTGGGTGGAAGGATCTAGAATCAATATAGATTGAAAGCAGCATGTTGAGGAGGAACATTAACAATTCCAGATTAAGAAAAACCTACGATTTTGAGCTACAAATGGGTTATTGTATAAAGCAGTCTTACATGCTTTCCAAAATTTTCTGCATCTCCTTCTTTTAGAGCAGAGGTAGGGAACTAGCAGTCCTCCAGTTTTTTGTTGTACTCCAACTTCCATCAGCCCCAGCATAGCCAACAGTTAAGGATGTTGGGATGTCCAGCAACATCTGAAGGGCCACAGATTCCCCGCTCTTGCATTAGCAGAAGATAGCCTATGCAGACAGAAACTTTGAATACAGAAATATAAAGCCTATCTCCTATACCAGGCTTGGCCAAGGGCCTGAACCATCCCAGAAAGCAATTTTGGCAGCCCTCGTAAAACTCGCCAAATTATAACTAAGATGTGATTTTTTAAAAAAACAAACCTTTAAAATCCCTTCAGTTTGGCTCTGAAGAAAAAGCACTGCTTTCAAATGATGTGACTTTGAGACTGAAAGAGAGAGAATCCAAACACAAATATTACATCTCTGCTGGGCTTTTGCATGTAAAGGCCCATGCTTGTCCAAGCACATGTTGCTGTCTTGTGGAAGCTCAAACTGAGATTTGATGCCAACTTTATTGCGGGGCCTGAACATATGTGGGGATGTCAGGTTGTGTGGGAAAATATACACCTGCTCCCTGGACCACTTTCTAGAAAACACAGTAGCCCCTGCCCCCTGGCTGAGAGCTTGGGCACCTCTATCCTATGCTGAGTCTGGGTGGTAGCATAGGCATGTTTGTCAGATACAGCAAGGATGGTGCAAAGACTCCTTCATGTTTACCTTGCTCTGCTCATTCACAATAATCTGGATAGACAAGCAGAGCACCCCAGATCCACGATAAACAGCCACTGGCAACTTTGAATCTCCTTGTCAGAGCTGCCGTGCATTGCCATGGGCAAGTTCCCAGTTCCCAGTTGCCCTTACCGAACCAGGAAGCCTGGGACATCTAGAAAAGCCAGTTCTTGCGCTGCCACAAAACCCTGCTGTGCCGACGCCGTTGCTATGTTTGGCGGTGACTAAGTGAGACCCACTTCTTGTTTCAAGCACTGACGTGTGCTGTGCAAATCTGGAAGTGGTTACATTAGGCCACAGCATTCCAGGGTTCCTACTTGGGCCAATGAGCTGTGTGTGTGCCTCAATCTATTATTATATGAAGAATTGCCTGCCTAGCAATACAACGATGAGCACAGCACTGGAAAGTACAGTAGCTCATTCAGGCTCAAAAGAGATTCTGATCTGGTGGAGTAACTAGTCTAGCTTTGTAGTTTCAGCCTCTTCTGAAACAGAGAAAGAGCCCCAAAATTTGTCCTATCTGGATCAGATCTATCTTCTTATTTTTTCTGTGTAGTTTCATCTAGACATGGAGTTCAGCCCAGCAGTTATTTAGGAGGAGATTGTGGAACAACAGACTGAGGATGTGGGAGCTCTACTTATTGGAAAAGGATGCACATTTCTCAGACACATATCACCATATGGGCTCAGAGCTGACATTAGGCAATCCCAGGCATCACTATTTGTCTCTTTCCAATTTATTTATTTCTCAACATAGGGCAGCAGCATTCAATGAAATAGTTGAGCTAGCACAACAGGATTCTCTCCTCTGGCTGTGTGTGCTGTGCACCATCCCCAAATCTGTTTCAGATGGTGGAGGAATTCCCAGAAAACATTTAAAGGGCACACAGTGGGGAGGAAGGGGAAACTCTTTCATCGCTCTAGGATTTCTACCTGGCTTTTGTTCACTTAAAATTAACCCACTAAATATTAAAGAAAGATATCAAAGAAGCATGCAAAGCTCAATATATAAAAATAACAGTATAAAACCATAAGTACCCGCAGCATTATAATATTATAGCGCAAGTCAGCTTCAGCAACCCAAGTCAGAGGTTGGAGAAATCTGGGGATATAAATAAGCCTTTATTTCTACCTTCTGGTACTTAGGAACACCATGGCTCTCTGTGGCTATCTCTCTCTGTGTGTGTACATGAATATGATGCATTTAGAAAAACATTATCACCCTTCAGTCCTAAAAAAGGCCCCCAACTTATTTTACAGCACTTAAAATCTCATTATAATTAAAACTGGAGAACATTAAAAAGCCACAATTAAACTAGATAAAAGGATCCACAGTTGGCAAGAGTCAAATGTGCTAAAAGACTGGAGGAATAATAAGGTCTTAACAGTCTGGAAGCGTGTTTGTTTTGTTTTGTGTTTTGTTTTGTTTGGCTATTCACCTCAGTCACCACCACTGTGGGTGGACCTGTATGGGCTGCTTGCCTAAGATCCCTAGCCTGAGACCAAAGAGGCCCAGGTTCAAATCCCCACTCAGCCACAGAGCTCACTGACTAACCTGGGGCCAAATACTGTCTCACTAACCTTTGGTCTGTGAGCCTAATCAGACCCCACACATGTTCCATTTCAGCCCACAAGGCCGTTTCCTACAAACCACACCCACCTGCTCCACAACTGACACCATATGTGACATCAGATATGTAATAAAAAATATGGGAGCTTTCCCCCCTCCTATATCTTCCCCCACCCCCAGAGCATCACTGAAAGGGAGACATACAGGTTCCTTCACCCACTTCTGTTTTACCCTCATGCAAGCATTATTGGGTCTGAAGTGTGTTTTTGCCAATGTTGCTATGATACTTGGGGCAAATAATTTTCACGACACTTTCAGTTTCTTTCCAACATTTCTCTAAGGAATCTAGGATTTGTTTTATGAATGACAGGCTTCAGTTAGCTTACCCTTATGCAAACGTGCTCCTGTTAGTTTTTAAGATCTTCCACAATTCAGAGTGTGGATGCGGAATGAAATGAATGGGAAGCCTCTGCCCGCTGTCTCTTTCACTGTGGCCTTGGAAATGACAGCATATATATTATTTGTTTAAAAGATAACTGTGCTGAAGTGACTTGCCTGAAGCTATTGAGTGAGTCAGTGGCAGAGTCTGGAAAATGCAGTGGCCGATTGACTGAAGCAGATTGAGTGGGGCTTGTGTGATGAATTGATTATGCCATTGGTCTACGTCAACCATGTAGTCAAGTAATACATATGGGTCAAAGGGTACAAGCTGAACTATATCCTTAATTCACAAGTCTGTGTGTTCGTTAATTCAGAGATGGAGGGTTGTAGCTCAATGTATGCTGTGCAGGAAAAAGATCCCAGTTGTCTCAAGGTAGGGCTGGGAAAACATATGTCTGAAACTCTGAAGAGCCACTGCCAGTCAGAGACTACAATATTGAGCTAGGTGGACCAATTATCTGATTTGGTATAAGGCAGTTTCCTAGGTTCTCATCTACCTCAGCATAGGGAGAAAGGGGAAAACATGGGGTTCTTCACTGTTCTTACTCCAGCCAAGTGTTTTGTTTGCTCATGTGCTCAGAGACGCCATTCCTGCACCGCTGGTGCCGAAGCTCCCTGGAAAAATACAAGAAGTGCATGAGATCACCAGACTGCTGCAATCGGGAGGGGTTTGTTTTTGCCATCCCATGTGAAAAGAAATATAGATCTGGAGCTCTGCTGCGGGAAGGGGCTTCAATAATAGCCCAAACTCCCTATGGGACTCTCCTGGAGACTGGCTCAAATGATGAGAAGGGGGGCAATGTGCCAGATCTTCGTTCAGTTATGAGTGGAATGTCTGTAGCTCCTTTCAGGAACACTGTGTTCCTTCCTGTGATACTAACGTCACCATCTCCAAGCAAGAAGGCCAAGCAGGAAAGCTCAAGCCGCCCTTCAGGTTCCCACCCTCCTTTACCCTTGATCTGAGTGGGTCGTGTTTTTTTGACCTGATATAAACAATCCCTCCTTTCATAAGCAGGAGGTAAGGGAAATGAATGGAACAATGGTAGCTGGTTGGCCAGTGTAGGCCGATTATTGACTAAAGAGATTTAGTTTCCTAACCTTGCAGCATTATATAATGGTTCCCACAGATGGAAACACTGAGATCCTTACGTATGCATCCTACTGACCCTTCTGAGTCTACTGTGGTGGTGTACCCCTGGGGTAAACACCCTTCAGCTGAGTGGCAGTCATGCTTTCCTACAGATGCTTCCAGTCAGGGTCCATCTGCAAGATGCAACAAAGCATCCTATGGTACCTTAAAGACTAATACATTGATTATCACATAAGCCCTCCAGATGTAGCTGAGGACCACCTCCCATCATCCCTCTGACCACTGACTATGCTGGCTGGTGATGAAGGAGGTGGGAATACAATAACATCTGGAGGACTACAAGCTTCCCACAGAGGGCAAGGTGCTACAAAACACTTTTGTTGCTTCTGCTGCAACAGACTAATGCAGCCACTGCTCCGGATGTTTCTTCCACATGAGGACGAAGTAATCCTATGTCATCATTCCTTCTATCCACGCACACATTTCGACCCCTCCACGGGCAGCTGCTTTCCTAGCGTGGCTTTCTTCCCTGGACATGTTTCTGCCACGTGGAGAGCCCCTGCTAGCAATCTACCACTCTGGGCGAAGAGCACAGCTGCGGCTTTTTATAGAGAATGAGTGAGCCCTAGACATGAGGAAAGCAAAGGGCCCCCTGTGTCCCAGACCCTGCTTGAACTCTGTGTGAGTGGTTCACACAGTTGGAGAAGGGGACAAAAATACCACTGCTTCTACCAGGCAACAGGGCAAGCAACAGAGCGCAGCTGTAAACAAACCATGGCCTCCTCATTCCTGACAAGTGACTGTACACTTGGCAGTGGTCCTTCTTCTGAATGTGGAGCAGAGAGGCGTCCAGGTTGCTGTTTTTTGCCCAGAGCTCCATGTCAGTCCTCCTTTCATTGTCTCTGAACTTAGTTTTCCCCCCTTAGATTGCTGCTTTGAACAAACCAACCTCTGACACAGCTCCACAAAAGTGTTAAAAAACATCATATTTAAAAATATACACTCCTTTATATAGATACCAGAACAATCGGAGAGGTCCCTTTGTGTGCAAATCTCTTTGGCTGGTTAGCAGAGCCATAAAAAGTGTATGGGGTGTCGGGAGAGAATGGAATGCAAGAGGTTCCACCCAGCTTGCAGTGTGTGGGTTCCACAGGACTTGTACTATAATTCTAACAGGACAAAGTGAGAAGTCTATTGCAGTGGGCATTTCTGGAGAGTTAAGAAAGGTTAAGTCTGATCATCACATACAAGAGTCTCTTAGTGGGGGAGCATTAACTGTGCATAGATGTGACTGCAAAATTTAGACTGATGTTTGGTGAAAGGTCACAGAAGGTTTTGTGTTGCTGGTAGCAGCCGACACTTAGCAGTTCTAAGCGTGCAAAGACTTATTGGGAATTTCTGTCCCAACAGAGGCAAGTAAATCACTTTTAGCAATGGCAGGTCTGCAGGACTGACAGCTCCAATAGTGGGCAAGGCATATGTTTTAAGTGTTTATTGCAAAAGGAGCCTTGGGTGGGTGTGGCTTTTGGCAGTTTCTCTTAGCACTATAGCCTTGGAACATGAGAAGGTGCACCTATAAAAGCTCTCAATTCTGTCCTGCATTTAAAGGTGCAAGAGCCATAATTTTGTGTTGAATTTACATGTGTAGACCCAAGAAAAGCATGGAGGTAATGGAGGGCCAAGAATAGATGGGAAAGCTGTAGACTTTGATGTATTAGTAGTTCTAAGTGGAGGATACTCTACATATACCATGTATACCAGCCTATATACAGGTTGTAATATTGGGCAAAAATGACACTTTCAGTTCACACATCTCCAAGTAGCTTTGTAAGCAATACCTTAAAAAGAAATTGCACCTATTTGCCTTTCTAGACTTCCTCCTCCTCCCCTCTTTTGTTTCTTAATTTTTAATTTTTACAGCAAATCCTTTCTGTTTTTCATAACAATCTGTCATTACGTTTCCTTATTCTATTTTCCCTCTTGTCATATAAAAACTTTAAAACTCATAGCTTATATTCAATATTTACCAAATTCTTGCATCATTACCTTTTTACGAATCATTTACCAATCCTTACTTAAGTCATGTAATTTCATTCAACATCCTTCAAACATTTGTAAGCATTCCCAATATTAAAAAGTAAAAAGAAAAAATAATAAGTCAAATTCAGTCCAGTCAGCTTCCAACCTCCCTCCCCTGGACCCGGGATTGTCAGTCCTTTTAACCTCGGTAATCCGGCTCCTTAACCTGGTTGTCTCGTATCCGAGGCCCTCAAGTCTCTTTCTTGCCCCTTTCGCCACTCTTGTTGATGATTCCTTTCCAGTCGTGGATGCTCCAGCAAGAAAATGCTTTTGACCCTTTGCAACAAGTCCATCCCAAACCCATTGCCCAAGCCAGACAGCAAATAATACCACTTCAAATTTCCACAAAGCTTGGAGACTTCGGCTACTCCAATCCTCTGATAGCCCATCACCAGACTCGGAAGGTCCAAATAACCATATGGAGGGGGTCGATCCATCCCCCATTTCCAAATCTGACCACATTTCATCTTTCCGAATCTGGTTTGTCCCAAGTTCATTTATCAAGTTCAAAGGCTGATCTTGCCCGTCCAAAGGTCCCTCCATCTCTGAAGCCTCCGTCACTACAGCAGGTTCATATGCTTGTATAGCCTTTAACTGAATTTCATTTGTTTGCTGCTGTGCTCTGGTAACTTCCATCCTCAAGGTCGTCTCCTGACGCATCTGGTCCAGCTGGGCACTTAGTTTTGAAAAACCTTCCAGGAACAATTGTTCCAGCCTTTGTACTAGCATTGTCCTTCAAGGTCAAAGAAAATTCTTTCCCACGAGAATAGTCCAATAGTCCTTCTCTTTTAATCTCTCTGCGTTGTAATTTCACTAAATTCCACTAGATGGAATTTTTTTCTTTTTAAAAGGAATAAAAGCAACAGCAACAATCTTTCTTTTCCAGAAACACTTTATCCAAAATTCCCCTTCCAAATTCAAGAGGCAACAGTAGAATCAAAATGTTACCCTTCTTTTAACTAACTGTCGAGCTGGATAAACTTCAGAACGTCAATTCTGACAGCCCGCTCCTGGTTCAGGGCGGTGGAAAATTGCTTTATTTTAAACTCACTTCCGCAGGATTGAAAAGTCCAAATACAACCCCCTTTTTCTCCTGCTGTCAATGTGTGGGTTCAGAAATCTTAGATGTTGAATTCTAGTTCTCTTAAAATTTAATTTTCAGGCTTTAGTATATTTTGTCTTTGCTTTCTTCACATAACAAAAGAACGGAAGGCGACTTCCTGTTTAGACCTTCCCATTCCGAGTCCCAATTAAGTTCAATTTCAAGTCCAATATTATTTGTTTATTCACCAGTCTTAAAAGTGGTTCAGCTCTTCCAAGATCAGGTACTCACGGATAGATGTTTTAGATGCCAAATTGTCCAGGAAAAGGCAGCGCTCTCCGATAACGGCAGTGCGGCTTTGCTGCACGGAGGAAGCAGACGACTCACAGCACCACGCACCTCCACTCCGGAGCCCGTTACCGGGCTCCTGTACAAGGGAGAGAGCGCTCTCGGTGCCCGCCGAGTCCCACGTCCACAGGCTTCTTCCGCCTGTGGTTTTTGCGGGTCCCCGCTGCGCCGTAGCGGCAGGACCCAAGCCTCCGTGCAGCGGGTTCCCTTCAGTCCGAAGGGAATTCCGCCATTTTCCGGAGGCGCCACCCCGGAAGTCTCAAGAAATTGCACCTATTTGGACACCGTTTCTGCCCTTACAGTGACAATGGAACTGCAGTGTCAGTGCAGCCCAGATGATACAACTACGACCATCTGCTGATCAGTATTGTCAGGGATGCTTTTTGCAAAGGAAGAATCAAGAGCTCCTTTTAAGCTTCCAGTTCTATAC